GAAAGAGAGAAAGAGAGAAAGAGAGAAAGAGAGAAAGAGAGAAAGAGAGAAAGAGAGAAAGAGAGAAAGAGAGAAAGAGAGAAAGACGTGGGGAAAACTGCACTACAACGGTATCCTGCGTCCCTGAGACTTCCCCGAGCTGCTTCCAGTTCCTCCCAGTGCCCAGGCTGAGGCTTCCCGTCTCCCACGGGAGAGAGCAGGGAGGCAGGGCAGGGAGGGATCTCCCTCCGAAACGCATCCCTCGGGCGTGGAGGGAGCGCGCTGTCGGCTGCGGGAAGGGAAGCCAAGCACGGCCGTGTGCCCTGGATGCTGACTGACATGGCTGGCTGCTTTATTTCATTTAGGGGATACGGAAAAGGGATGAGGGAAAGGGAGAGGAGGAAGCGCACGCTCGCACACACGCGCACGGCTTCTCTTACCTCCACATTGAAATACTGCTCCGCTTTGCACACTGTAGCACATAAAATCCAAAGGCAGGTTTGCAAGAATAACACCCTGGATTGAGATACGAAATCCAACCGGCTTCCAGTGCTGAGTGCGAGTACGACCATAGTGAACTGTGCTTCAATGGATGGAAGGTCTCTCTCTCTCTCTTTTCCTTAAACAGACACAAACAAACCAGCCCCCTCCCGTGTCCGTGAGGAGCCTGTAGCGCAGGTTCACCCACAACAGGCGAGGAGGAGGAGGAGGACCAGACACTTCCCGGATCGGGCGGCGACAGCGGGCTCAGCTCTCGCTCATCCTCACCGCCAGTCCCGTCAGGAGGGAATGTGGCGTCCGAGTGCAGCCGCAGCTCCTACACGGCTCCTCTGCCCAGCAGCAGCAACCGCCTCCCGTGCCCTCCCTCCTCCTCCTCCTCCTTCTGCTCCTCCTCCTCCTCCTCCTCCTCCTCCTCCTCCTCTTCAGCCTCCTCCCACTGTGCTTCCTCACGGGGAAGGCCGGGCTGGCAGGCAGGCTGGCTGGCTGGCCAGTCGCCGGCTCGGCTCTGCTCGGAGCGGCGCGGCGCGGCGCGGCTCTCCCCTCGCCTCTCCCCTCCTCTCCAGAACGTTCAGCCGCCATCTCCGTGGCTCCTCCCTGCCGGCCTCCTGGCAGGCACCTTAAAGTCAGTGGGTCCGCCAGGCGGCCCTGCCGGGCTGCCTGTACGCGGCTTCGCTCGCTCGGTCGTTCCTCGTCGCTGCCGGCGTCCCGGGAGGAGCGCTCGATTCTTCCTCGCGGAACGCACAGAAGCAGGCGCTCGAACGGCTTCCAGGTGCCCCTGAGCCCGCCTCAAGGAGCGGGGCAGCGCTGGGCCCGGTGTGATTTGTGCTCTCCGTGGCTTGGAGAAACGTACAGAATCTCTACTTGCAAAGTTTGGGGAAGGTGGAATAATGATGGTGCGCTTAAAGTGGTATAGCGAGACAGTCAAAGCAATCTGTGCATTGAGTTAACTGGAAATCTATTTTAATGTGCACAGATAGAGAATCTTGTATGTAAGGGGAAACAAAAATGCTTTGTGCTCCAAGTAGATAAATATCTCTTGTGATTTTTATGGTTAACGGCACATTTTGTGGAGCCCTTAGATAGTTAAATAACGGGGCTTTCCTGTCAAAAAAGGTGGAATAGTGCTCAGTATTAGCAAGACAAACTATTTCAGTAACACGTCTTGTTCACGTATATGTTGACAGATTTAAAAAAAAAAAAAAAAAGAAAAAAAAAAAGTTTAAAAGATTCCAAGATTTGAAAATCTACAATAATTATCAAAATAGTTACAAAAATGCTTGCTAAGTCATGATATGAAACAACTCAGAGATAGAAGATATCACGACAGACAAATGTTTCTTTTACAGATAGTTGAGGTTAATGGCAGAATTCAACCACATGCAAGTTAAATGTACAGAATGTTGATAACACCCAGTAGCAGGATGTGGGGACATAGTAGTTTCTCCATATTTTAGTATCTTGAAATGCCAATTATCTTTGGAGAAGTCATGTTCTGCCTAGCCAAAAGTAGTGAGATTTAAGTTAAATTCCTTAAGGGGTATACTTTTTTCATGTTAATTACTTGATCACAGATACATAAAATGGCTTAGTTTGGAAGGGACCTTAAAGACTATCCAGCTCCAACCCTATATCATGGACAGAGTTACTATTCACCAGATCAGGCTGCTCAGGACTCCATCATCCTCTGGGGATGAGGCATCTGTAACATCTCTGAGCAGCCTCTGCTCATGCCTTACCACCCTCTAAGTAAATAATTTCTTCAAACATCCAACCTAGATTTCCTCCTTTTTAGTTTACTTTACTTTTATTTAAAAGCCATTTCCCCTTGTCCTGTCACTATTAGACCATGTCAAAAATTGGTCCTCCTCCTGCTCATAAGTTCTTTTCTAGTACTGGAAAACTGCAAGGTCTCCCTGGAGCCTTCTCCAGGCTGAACAAGCTCAACTCCCTCAACCTTTCTTTATACAAGAGAAGTCATCTTTGAGAAGTTATCCAGTCATCTTTGTGGCCCTCCTCTGGACCCTCTCCAACAACTTTGTGCCTTTCTTGTATGGGAGGGTGTAGATTTGCCAACAGCACTCCAGATGGGGCCTCATAAGGAGAATAAATCACCACCCGCTCCGTGCTGGCCACCTCTCTTTTGATGCAGCTCAGGATACAGTTGGCCTTCCAGGCTGCAAACGCACACTGCTGGCTCATGTCCAGCTTTTCATCCACCAGAACCTGATCTGAAAGATGTTGTCTGTTCTTCAGATTATCAGTGAAGTGGGTGATGAAATCATGAAACAGAAAACTGGAAATGAGCTGGAAGGACCTCTTGGCACTTAGGTGGCCAGTATCGGAAATCGAAATGATCCTGACAAATTAATGTCTTGAACCCATCAGGAAGAAACTTCATACTGACAAATGCAAATTAAGTTTGGGAAGAAAAATCAAAAAGTATGATACTGGTAAAACTGAATCACATCAGAAAAGAATCTGAAGGATGTAATGGACCATAAATATGAGTCAGCAGCATGCTACAATTGGGGAAAAAAAAAAAAAAAAAAAAAAAAAAAGACAATCCAGCTGCCTCATTGTGGAGCATATTATTAAGTGCCCTGACCAGGGGATTTTTCTGCTAGGGATTGTTGAAACCAGTTGTGGTTGATGTCAAACAAGAGAGAGGCCAAGCAAAGTAATATTTAGAAAGTACGATGTGGAATATTTGAAATAACACCATTTTTTTTAGTCTGAGAAAACCTAGGATAAAGAGTCTATCTGTATGGAAAGTCTTGCTGTGAGAAGGACAAAAATTTTAATTATTTTTATGTTTAGGATGAAGGAAAAAAAAAAAAAAAAAAAAAAAAAAAAAAAAAAAAAAAAAAAAAAACAACTAAATTATCCTGGAAGTTAATTCAGTGTTAGACAAAACTTTCTAAAATACGTAGGTAGTAGAATTTGGAACTAGAAACCCAGTGGTACAAATATGAAATAGTTGTAATTCAGAGGTCTGATAAGCAAGAATATTATATCTATATCTTCTATTCTCAGTGTAGTGGATTTGTAATGTATTGAATTATGTGATGTAGTGATTTTTTCTTTTGTTCTAGTATACAAGTAATTTATTTTCTTTTCTTACTCTGTGAATTAATAATTGTTTATTTCTCAGGTATTACTGTATGAATCAATAACTGATAATTATTTACTCTATGAATTAGTAACTAGTTGAAAAGAGATGCTTATACTGTCTGTTTTGTTTTCCCTCTTCTCCTAATGGACCTTCTCATTTGCACTTTCAGCAAGCACTAGCTCTGTATTTGCTGCTATATTTTCAAGGGTTTGTTGTTAGCATAATATGAAGAATTGGAAATTGAAATAGAAATAGATATGTTCTTTTCACTGGTATTTCATTCATCTTCCATGTCAGTACTGCTGTGATTGTTTGTTGTGAAAAGCATGGGGCCTTGAATATGACTACCTCCTTCTTTATGCTGTATCCATTTGAAGAGGAAAGAAACAATGTTATGAATAGAACAACAGAGAGCAAAACCACACAAGCGTTTGCGTGTGTGTGCGTGTGAGAAAGACAAAGGAACCACAGAGGTAAAGAAAGACATTGACCAGGAACAAGAGCAGTAAAGTGTGGATTTGAGTGCCACAGAAAGAGGTGTATGAAGGACAAAGAATATCTTCGAAGTGAAAAATATCACTCAGGAAGGAGGAAACACCAGCAGTGACAGGAAAGAACCCTGAATATTTATAAGAAAGCTGTGGGCAAGAATATACAGGAGTAGTGTCAGCCTCTTGGTCATTCAAGAAGGTTGAGAGACATAACAATATTTAAAAAAAACATATGGAGATCTTGTTTATAGATATCTGTATATAGGAGAATGTGAGAAATTGAAGAAAAGGCAGAAAAGAGCAACAAAGATGAAAGAAAAAAAAAAAAGGATGGAGAAAAATGCAACTGTAAGGAAATTTGAGCTATTTGTTGAAATATTCAGCAGAACTAAAAAAAAATTGAAAACAGTTCTAACTGATTCATTTAGTTATATAAATTTTAGCCATTTTGAAAGACAAGATCTTTTTCCTCTGCTCCCAGCCAGCTCATTTACTAGCTCAGTTTCTTTGACTCTGTAGATTTTATCTTTTACGGATAACTGTAGTCACAGCTTCACAATGGACAGAGTGATTACTAGAAGCAGGCATAGGCATCATTAGACACTCTCATATCCAACCCTGAACACATGGCAAAAATCTTTTGCTTTATTGTATCTGCAATTCTGAATAGCAATTCATATGATAACTTAACAAAAAAATCAAACAATACATGTCAACCTTTCTGCATTTTGTGGTGCTTAGCTACTGGTAGTACAAACTGGAATTTTTTTAAATAGTAGTTTCATTGCAGCATATAATGAACTGCAACAGCTGAGGTAGACATCACATATCTTGCATATCTACAGACTGTTATATCTAGGGCTAGATTATCATAGAATGATCATAGAATCATAGAATGGCCTGGGTTGAAAAGGACCTCGAAGATCATCTATTTTCAGCCCCCCTGCTATGTGTAGGGTTGCCAACCGCCAGACCAGGCTGCCCAGAGTTGCATCCAGCCTGGCTTTGAATGCCTGCAGGGCAACTTGTTCCAGTGTATCACCACCCTCTGAGTGAAAAACTTCCTCCTAATATCTAACCTAAACATCCCCATTTTGGTTTAGAACTGTTCCTCCTTCTCCTATGACTATCCACCCTCATGGATAAGATTGGAAAAGATTTTCTAAACCCCTGGCCTTTTTTGTATGGAATAAGCTATTCATAGATCTTGACTATTTGCAAGATCCCACAGCGCATGAAGGCAACAATCTTACTGCATTTAATATGTATTGCTGCATGGACCATGCTTGCATTGCCTTGTGTTCAGATTGCTATGGTTCTTCATATGCACAAGTTTCATTGTAGGCATAAGCTTGCATAATCAGAAAGTAGAACTGTCTTATATTGCCAGTTCACTTTGCTATGTTGTCTTACAGATCCGCTCATGGCTTTTATGAAGGAGTAAAAACAGGAGAAAACAAAATTGTGAAATTTCATGCATAATTGCTATATAATCAAAAGGAAAATTCCTAAAATCATAAAATTCAGTAGTAATTCAGGATATTTTGGCTGCAAGTTTCCACCAAGAGCAGTGAAGTCAGAGAGGAAAGAAGTCTGAAAGTAGAAAAATAGTATAACCAT